TGAAAGCAATGTAATCTTTACTGATAATCTGCCAAATTTCATTAAGATTTGCTTAATAATTTAAAAGTTATAGCATAAAAACTATAACAAGCACAAAGTGGTTACGAAGTCAGTCCCAGGGACAGAGCCCGTGCTGAAAGAGTTACTAATATTAAGTACAATGGATATCCCCATCTTAGAAATTCACAATCTCGATATAAATATGTGTTTGTGATTTTAGTGTATGAACATTTGCTTCAAAAAAAAAAAAAGAGTTGTTACATATCCTTCTTGAAAGCTATCAATTTTAAGTGACATCAAAATATCTAAGAAATGCCAAACAATGTCAAAATGTGTTTCTGATACATTTCATTCCATGACAATTTTATATCAACTGTATTTATCACATTATCTGCCAATTTGCATTTTCAAGATCATTTTAATATATAATTGTTTTACAGTCTAATTCAGACTTTTTACAACATTATTGCAATTTCTACAAATATTTTGTTTATTTAAAAATATTTCATACCTGTACCATTAATCTGACCAAGAGCTTTTTTGTAGGGAACTAACAGTTTAATGTTGAGCCCTGCAAAACTTTCTGCAAGTGTGTTTTCTTCATAACACTTGATTAATTCCTGAAAAATTTAAATAATGGAGTTATGGATCTTTTAGGTTACTATCTGCTTATAAAACATAGTAAGTTCTCTAAAAATCATATTATTACCCAAATAATCATATTTTTATGGTTCTAGATTTTCTTTGCTATTTTAAAAAATTCTGGAAAAGTCTGTCAGTGAATTTAAATTGTAAGCTAAAGAATTACATTTGAAACTCTATATGTGGATACTTATGCTACTGTTGTACTAGTTACATTCAATTTTAAACCTCCAAATTGAACTAAAAATATAAATTGTCAAATGAAAAAACAATAACAATATAGCACCTTCAGTATGTGAACCATTTTGGCACACAGAAATTAATGAACTCAAGTATAATAGAAATTGAAACATTAAGTAAAACTAATCGTGCACCATACAATAATCGTCCATTTTGTTAAGAGTCCCAAGATACATTTGTAATTATTTATTTACATATGCTAAACATACTGATCACGTAATAAGTAACAGGATTTCTTGTATTTTACTAAATACAGTCATTATATTCTTAGTCTATAAAACAATGGGTAAGAGTAAGTATTACTGCGACTTTCAAAGGGGCTTAATGTATGGAACACATCTAGCTGGGGATTATTATTAAAGTCCATTTTTCTTATCCAGCTGTTCAAAGACATCTGTGAACAGAATCTATTAGTGCTGGCAATAGAAATGGAATACTTCCAATAACAAAAACAATAACTTATCAAATTGCTGGTGATTAACCAAGTGCAAAAATACAGTTAGGTCCGTCAAGTGTAACTACATCCCAGTTGATGAAATATTTCCAAATTAGTCAGGATCCAACCATACCTTATGAAGAATTAATGGGCTTACAATCAAACAAATCACCATTAAGAATGTTAATAAAGCAAAACAAGTTCCAACTCAATATGAAGCAGAGATTCTAATCACACCATTCTTGATATTCTAAATCTCCTATAAACCTGGAATTTTAAATTTCTTAAATTTGTGATGCTTTTCTTTAATTTTATCCCTTATACCCTAATACATTCTAATAAAAAGATAACACTATGATGTGAGAATTTTTCTTAGAATTGAATTAAACAATAAAAGGTTACATACCACAATACTTCTGAAATATTTTGATTCTGATAGGTAGAAATGCTGCCCATCTTCAGTCATACACACTCTCATGTGCTTAATTTGGTTGTTGTAGCTGAATAATTACATATAAACAATAATAATAAATAAACAATTATGTCACTCACATAACAATAATTAATACACTATTTTGTAATCAAAAAAATGATTTTACAGACAAAATATTTCATTTCATTATGTTTGTTTTTATTTCAGTAAGCTTTCTATCCCGATGTTGGATTTGGTACTGTATTCATAAGAAGCACCCTTTACGCATTTCTAATGTGTAATCACACATCAGCACATTTACCAAATTTTAGATTAAGAAGAAAGTTTACAATATCAAATACCTGTAAATTTGTAACATTAAATATGAAAAATAAGAAGTTAAAATTATAAAAGCTGTAGTTTCTCAAAAATGCACTAACATATGTACAGAATATATTAATTTCCATATGTAAAGGAAAGGGTGTAATACAACAGCAGCTCAAAACAACCAAATTTCAAAAACAGTTATGTAACAAGCTCCTTTACTTAAACTATGAATAAGTGTATAACAATACAAGTTGTACTAAAGATCTACATCTACAGTCACAATATTAAAATCATGATCAACTAATTTTTCCAACTTGCATACTCTTGTTTCATCTAATTTTTATACCAATGTTTAGTTTTCTTAGAATATTAGAATTTTAAAACTGTTAAACTTTCTTGTGAGGATCTGAATTAAAGATACTTCAATATATGCCTTTGCCACATCAGGTCATAAACAATAAACTCTTGATGTAAACAACTACATTTGCTCCAATTAAGAGGCCTATCTGATATGTCAAAATACTTTAAACAAATCGAAAATTTCAAATGTGGACCAGTCCACTTTTTTTAATGTAGAATCTTTTAGTTTTGTTCAAAACTTTTAAATGGTATTATATATGATTTCCAAACAGCACTGATATTATATTCAGAACAAAAGGTATCTGTTTTTTCCAAATTGAGAGCCATTGAAGATAAAAACATGCAACATGTCTTCTTTTCATTTTGGTACAACCTTCCCAGAGTGATCAGATGATTATCTCTTTCATGCCTCTTGTGAGCTGGTACCTAATGATTAAATTACATTTGAAGATTTATCAACTACGTTATACTAACTAGTTATGGACCTATATCATCCATAATTAATACATCCTGAAGATGTTGTTCACTTACTTTTGTACTAAAATTTGTACATTAATGGTTTCTCAATATTAAAAAAACATGGTTTGTTACAGTATTTGCAAAAGGCTCTGTGGTAATAACTATATTTTTTGAAATTATATCAATGTTTCTATAGTTACTTTTGTAATATAAATAAATTACTATTATTATTTAATCTCATGTAAAATATTTCTGATTTAAGTTAACATTAATTGGGCTAACAGAAGTACAAGCAATTACATCTTATTATATGTGAAGAAATATGAAAAACTCGTGAAACTTTTGAAACTGAACAAGTCTTTTACTAGTTTTATTGACAGCAAAGTCCATGAAACTTTAAAACAAAACTATGATGTCTACTTTTCAAATAAATTAATAGTTGTAGTTTCTACCTTACAGAAGGCAACATTCTACATTTATACAGAAAAGGTTAATTACAGTCTAGAGGAAACCATATTTTGTGGTTCAAGTTTGTAGCATCTCAAAAGCTACTTACAGGGTAAAAGATGTATTTAGATTTAATGATGTAATTCTCAAAGATAAGTGGTTTCTTGTTTCTTATACCTTATCATGTCCTTGCTGCATAAGGGGTTAGATACACCACTAGGTGGTTATGCATGAGAATAAAAGAAAGTATTCTAACACAACCAGAATGCACATTTAGTAGCTCATCATGTGCAGTATTTAACATTGCAGTTTAAGATGACACCTTTATTATAGGGAGTAAATCTAAGGATGAATATTTACGATTTGGCATACACTCTTTTGTTTTAGTTTTTATTATTTATATTTTGGATATTTTGACACAAAATAGCTACAAAAATTCTTCAGTTTTGAAAATGCAGCCTAAATAGGCCACATAACCAAAAGTTTCACCCCAAATGATCTCATAAGTTAACCCTATGTGCACAGGTGGGGTTAAAATATCTATGTCACAACTTTTTACAGTTACATTCAAAAGTTAATTAAACTACTTTATTATCATTGTACATCAATAAACTTGGCATCAAAACATACTTAATAAATGAAATTTAATTTTTGAGTTCAAAGGGATATATATATGAAAAAAAATTGTTCAATACTCAATCTTGTATGTCATATGACGTAAGTTGTTAAATTTACATTTTATTACTTCTACCAATTATAAACTCAAACTTCACACACTGACGAACTAGTATATAGAATAAGAACCTTCGAACTTCTCAATTTGTTGAGATATCAGTATATTTAGCAAAAACAGCAGAGAAGCCTATAACACCCGTTTATTCTTTTGAAGCCACTTGTTTAATCATGCCTACCTGTATCACGTACATTTTAATAACCAATAGAAAGAGCCACACAAACCTGATGTCAATTTTATGGTAAGGAAAGCTACAATTTGTTAGGAAATGTTGGAGTGTGTTTACTGAAAACAGAAATTAATTTTTAACCTAATTATACCTAAGTTAGAAAGCCATATAAGTTACAGTAGTTTTGTGATGTCCTATTCTAGTTAGTGATACTGAGCAGATTGTAAGGGTCTAGTAATTGTATGGGTTTGTCCTTAATAATTTTCTTTTGACAAACAGTAGTCTATTAATAGTTTGAAACTTGCAAATATTTTTGATTTTTGGTCCATTCTGTATACGTGATCTCATAGCATTGACTTTAATATTGAGTTGTTCAACATGAGTACAGAAACATTTTGCCTACAAATGATTCTTGTGCAACCAAAAGTACCCTATCATAAGGTTTAAAGTTTTGAATCATTAAGGAAGTAAATTATTTTAAAAATAGAAAACAAAAATCAGTTTTCTGTTTTGAGATAAATATAAACAATTATTACATGATATTCTTAAATCCATATTACTCTCAAATTAAACAAAGCATAAAATCTAATAATTATGTTTTTGTTACAATATGGAATCCATTATTTTTTTTGTCCATGAAAAAATAACAACATATGATCATAAATTTTTTTATCAAATTAAATTCTTACTTGAGACTAATGGCATATCCTCCATTTTGTTTTGGGCTGACTCTCAAAAGAAATGTTCCACATGGTAAGTTTTCTAGCTGAACAGAAGCTGTATCCCTATCCATTGTTCCAGCAAACCTGCAGTAGCAAGAAACATGTATTTCCTGAAGAAACGATATAAGCAGTAATTTGTGTGTGTTTTGTAGTTAATATTTCTGTCTGCTTGTTGAATTTTGTGCAAAGCTACTCCAGAGCTATCTGCATTAACAATCTCTCATTTTGAAGTGATATACCAGAGGGAAGGCAGCTAGTAAATACCACACATCACCAACTTGTGGGCTACTCTAATCAAATATTGAGGATTAACCATCACTCTTATAATGCACACGTGGTTCCATTTGGAATCCTGTCATATGACATCTCTCTAAAGTGTGATCCTAACTCATCTGAAATAAGGTACAAGATCTTACTTTGGCCCATTTTGAAATTCTCAGCAATAACAATACCAGGAATCATCTTTAAAAGAAATCTACAAAGCCATCACATGATGATTAAGAGTAATTACTATGTGCCACTTTCATTCCTCCAAGTACTTCTGCTTGTGTAACAGATTATTTACTACTTGGGATCAATGGTTGTATAAAATGATTGTTATGCTTTATTAGAATTAGCAATTCTACTACTGGAGGTCATTTCTCCATCAGTGAAAGTCTGAGATTGACATACAGATTTTATAGTGAAATATTTACATATTGTGTCAAATTTAGTCTTTGCTATGTCCTGGTGTTTGAATCCTTTAGAGTGGCATCAGACAAGGCAGGAGACAGAGAATATAGCTCATTGAAAGAGATTTTACATATCCAAAAAACATTTATGTAAAAATCTGATATGACATTAAGAAGTCACAGACACATAAACTTTTAAGAAGTATAATCTCAAGAATGCTGCAGAAGTATGACCTTTGAAGAAGAATAGCAGCAATAAAGCCTTTATTGTGCAAAGAGACTAGCTTTTACAAAAGAACATATATCCCAGTCTTTGAAACACTAAAAACTTTGATAAAATATATAGACACAATGCCATAAAGATACCGGGCTGTTATTGATGCCAAAGATGGACACTATGTATTAGCACTAAAGAAACTTGAAAACATTATTCAAGTATGAATTTCGTAACAGTTTCCTGTGAAATTAATTATAAGTTAATTTCTACAGCAAATCAATGAATATTTTGTGTGTAAAGCTCATAAAATAGCAACTGATGTTTAAGTAAATGTGCAGAGTACTATATATATATATATATATATATATATATATATA